AAGGTACTAAGCAGAAAAGAAAATGAATGAATGAATGGATGCCCTTTCAGCAGCGAGCCAGTACTGGGAAACACCCATACACTCTCACATTGACATTTACACAATTACACTATGGCCAATTTAGTTTATTTAATCCGCCTATAGCTCATGTGTTTGGATTTCGGGGGAAACCGAACCACTCGGAGGAAACCCCCACCACCATGAGGAATTCATGCAAACTCCACACAGAAATGTTAAATGGTCCAGCCGGAACTCAAACCAGCGACCTTCTTGCTGTGAGGCGACAGTGCTAACCACTGAGCCACTTTGTCACATAAATTAGTATCATGATCTTTAATCAAATGAACATTTTTATATTAGTCAATAATATTATTGAAACAAATTTAAAAACTGAATAAATATAAGTTTACACACATTTACACAAGTAAATAAATAGACCCAATGATGGGCTAAAAATCTGCAGAAATCTGTGGATTTCTGCATGCGCAGAATCCGTGTGGGCTTTGATATGGGTTTCCATTCTAACATAAAGCAAATCTCTTCTTTTTTGCAAAAAAAGTTTGCAAAAATAAAAAATAAAAATCCCAAATGCAAATTAGGAGCATTTCCATCAAGTTGTTAAGAGTGGCTGATCATGGTATTGGTAGCCTAGCAACAAACAGTAAACAAGACAAGCATATCCGCTTGTTAAGTGTCACATCACGCGAAGCGGCTTCCGGGTTCAAGCGCTCTATTCAACTGAATGGGGAGACTCATGAAATGGTAATAATAAACGTTTACAAAGCGATTTAATGCTTTTGAAAATCACGATCGCAGTATAAATGTCCCTGCCCAATATCCGATGCCCAGAAAGTGATTAATTTTTTATAAATTGCTAAATTTTTGGTATTTGTTATGCAGCAAGCCCAGAGATTGTTGTGTACATTATGATTTTTTATTAAATTAACTTTAATGTGTGATAGGAATAAAACGTGATCATAAACGAATGATTTCTCCACTCAAATGAGGGGCGGCTTGGACGCGGAAACAGTATTACATACGTCACAAACACGTCACCACTTAACAAGAGGATTTAGTCACATGGGTATAATGTTTATTCCCTCAGAGCTCATTTAGAAAAAGCATTTTCATCTCAAATGATTCACATTATCCCTTTTTCGCACAGCCTCAAAACCACCTCAAGCCAGCGTAAAAACAAGATTTTTATTTAAAATTTGGCACCTCAATCATTTGTTTCTCATGTGATACCTCAAAATGCATATCAACACAGGCTGATCAAAACCCGACCTTGGGATTTATTCATTTTCCTTTGGCTTACTCTTTTTATTCACCTGGGGTCACCACAGCGCAATGAACCGCCAACCTATCCAACATATCCTTTACACAGCGGATGCGCTTCCAGCTGCAACCCAGCACTGGGAAACACCCATACACTCTCGCATTCACACGCATACTGTACACTACGCCCAATTTAGTTTAGTTAATTCCCCTATAGCGCATATCTTTGGACTGTGGGGGAAAACCGGAGCACCCTGACGAAACCCACCCCAACACGGGGAGAACATACAAACTCCACACAAAAATGCCAACTGGCAAAGCGGGGACTCCAACCAGCGACCTTCTTGCTGTCAGGCGACAGTGCTAACCACTGATCCGCCATGCCGCTACCCCAATGCTTTTCATCAATTTCATAATGAAACAATAAACATTATTAGACATTATTACACTCTAGCAGACAGCCTCCAACTGGGAATTTTCATTTAGCTGGTCAATGTCTATCAGCTAATATTAGCGAATAGATTCTGGTTAATATGATTCAGTTTCATTCAATTCGATTACCACACTTGGATATTGGCTTTGTGAGCAGTATTTGTAATGTTAGCATTGCGGGGTGCTGTATCGTTCCACGCCACACGCTGAGACCAGAGTCTGCATCCAGACATCTTTTTTAATGTACATTTGATGTCAGAATTATTAGCCCTCCAGAATTATTAGCAACCCTGTATATTTTGTCCCCAATTTAGGTTTAACGGATTGATTTTTTTAACACATTTCTAATTATAGTTTTAATAACTCATTTCTAATAACTGATTTCTTTTATCTTTGCCATGATGATAGTAAATAATATTTGACTAGCTATTTTTCAAGATGCTAGTATTCAGCTTAAAGTGACATTTAAAGGCTTAACCAGGTTAATTAAGGTAACTAAAATAAGGCCATTAGGCAAGTTTTTTCAATTCAATTCAGCTTTATTTGTATAGCGCTTTTACAATGTAGATTGTGTCAAAGCAGCTTCACATAAATGGTCATAGTAACTGGAACAGTGTGGTTCAGTAACTGGAACAGTGTAGTTCAGGTTTTAGTGTTTAAGTTCAGTTCAGTTCAGTTTAGCTCAGTTCAGTGTGATTTAATCATTACTGAGAGTTCAAACACTGAAGAGCAAATTCATCGATGCGTAGCTCTACCAATCCTGAACCATGCGAGGCAGTGGCGACAGCGGAGAGGGAAAAAAAACTTCATCTGATGGGAGTGAAGAAAAAAAACCTTGAGGGAACCAGACTCAGTTGGGCACGACCATTTTAATTTCTCCGCTGGCCAAAAGTCTTGTGCAGAGCTTCATTCGCCGTGGTTTAGGCTGGAAGATGGCCTCAGCGAAGACTCGTCTGTCCCTGGAGCGTCGCTGGAATCAGACTCATGTTCTCCACTCCCCACGACCATCAGCGCAGCAGCAGCTCAGGATATGGCCTGGTCCCGGATAAAGGTACTGAAGGCACTGTTATTCAGTTACTGGCAAGTAACTGAATAACAGTGCTTTGTTGCATAGACAATCGAAAACAAGTATAGCTTAAGGGGGCTAATAATATTGACCTTAAAATAAATAAATAAAAAATTAAACTGCTTTTATTCTAGCCGAAATAAAACAATAAAGACTTACTCCAGAAGAAAAAATATTATAGGAAATACTGTAAAAAATTCCTCGCTCTGTTAAACATCATTTGGAAAATATTTTAAAAAGTTCATTCACAGGAGGGCGAATAGTTCTGACTTCAGCTCTGACTTCAACTTCATAGTAAGTAAGTAAAGTTTATTTATAAAGCACATTTACTTCAGTTTGGCACTGACCAAAGTGCTGAACAAAAACCATAGCACACACTCTAAAAGAGTAAAAATAACAATAAAAGTAATAATAGGAATAAAAGTATTACAGCAACAACCACAATAAAGATTAAAAGCCTGGGAATGCAATAGAATAAAAATGTGTCTTAAGTCTAGACTTAAAAATAGAGAGAGAAGAAGCACTCGTAATATCCGGTGGCAGCTGGTTCCACAAACGAGGAGCAGCGACTGCAAAGGCTCTATCTCCTTTCAATTTAAGTCGTGACCGAGGAATTTGCAGTAAAATTTTATTTGAGGACCTAAGAGACAGAGGAGTTGACTGAAAGTTAATAAGTTCTGATATATAAGAAGATGCTTGCCCATTCAGTGCTTTAAAAACAGTAAGTAAAATCTTGAACTGAATTCTAACAGTTTAACAGGAAGCCAATGAAGGGATGCTAAAACTGGTGAGATATGAACATGTTTTTTGGTGCCTGTTAAAAGTCTAGCTGCCGCATTTTAAACCAACTGCAAGCGTGCCAATGAGGATTGAGGGAGACCAACATATAAGAAATTGCAATAGTCT